AATGTTAATAACTCCTGGTCACCTAATAGCATCATGACTATTCGCAGAGACATCAGCCTTGTAAGGTAGCAGAATTAATTCACCTCCAATAGAATAAATTCTCGCGAAAAAAAAATATTCGCTTGAAGACGGAAGTCGTGTTCACTTATGCTAATTCAAATATTTGGTAATTGATGATTTTATATAAAAAATGATCATGACTTGATAAAAACTTACCTTTTCTTAGCCAAAGTTCAGAAAACACAATACACCTCAAGAAACAACTGGATCTTTCAACACAAATTCTAGAATATCGATAGCTTCTCAAACTCTGGTAACGTCTTGTGAGCTCGAATTTGAAATGATACCACCAAATTCAATATTGTTAGATGTCCTGCTTTCACCTCAAATGGACCCAACCCCCTCCTTTCAATTGGTGACATCCAATAGAAATTCTTGTATTTGAATTATATAGATATACCTGACCCTATACCAAATTTAAATGATTTTGGGTAACATAATTCAACAGGATAGGATTATCCCGTAATTACCTGTTTCAAATCAATGAATGAACAAAATTTCATTAAAGAAATTTTCTTGAGAGAGGCCCCAAAGATATTTTGATAATGAGAAATTTAGAATTTGAAGAAATTTTGCCTGAATGCAATTCTTGTAAATAATTGAAACGCTGCATCAATGAAAAATTTGAAATTTCAGAAAAGTAATGAAGGAAGAAAAATATACAAAATTTGCACCACGCAAAACGGAAGTGTTTCAAAACCTTTAAACGCTGCCTAGATTGGAAAAATAAAAAATGAAATTTAAGAAATAGATNTCAATTTTTAATTGAATTTAACCATAATCACAAAACTTGTACGCCATCTTGAATTTGAGAATTGTCTGAAAAATCACAATCCCAGATCCCTAAAACCCCCACATATCAGTTTTCAATCGAATCGGATCAAAAACACTAAACTTGGAGCCGCCATCTTGATTTTAGTAATCTTGACTATTGATTCATAATATCTGGCTCCAAAAACCCCCACAAACCAATTTTCAATAGAATCAGACCATAAACATACATCACGTCCATTTTGTTTTCTTTTTTTGTAACAAAAATTTCATAATGCATTGTCACGGAAATTATGAACATCTGCCAAATTTCAACAAGAAGTTGAACAAATTTCACTTCACAAGATTTGTACAGAACAAACAGACAAGAAAGCGAGTCAATAAAAACGTAATAAAAAATCATGGCCCAAAAAGCACCTGTATACCAATTATAAATGGAATCAGACCATAAATCACCTAGCTCATCCTCCATTTTGAACCTTGTAAAAATATCCAATCTTTGACTTCCGAAATACCAATCTTTAATAGAATCGGAATTAAATTACAAAACTCTTAATCTATCATGAATGTTGATAAAAATCCTTCAATTCACCAAATGTATCCTCTATGTTTCTTCTATTGTAAATGTCTTTAATGCATTGTCACTCGAATGATATGTATCCCTGCCAAATTTCAAGATAATTGGCTAAGTGGAACTGCCTCGAAACGATATACCTCAATATCTATACTTGGTTATTATTTTTCAGTAAATCTGTTATTCCAAACATCTGAATGCAAACTATATCTCAACTTTGATTCAGGTCAACATAATTTCATTCATAATTTTATTTTGCACTTTCTTCAATGAAAATTTAGTTTTCCTTACGATGAAGGCGCCACATTACGGGATACAATTTCAGAATTTCTAGTAAAAAAATATAGATGGTTCTGGCAACCTCCATCCAATGCTTTTTACATTGTGGTTGACCGACTATAAATCGTTAGACAATGACACATTACTTCTTGTGCTGATTATCTTGCTTTCATGATGATATTAACCATGTACAGAATAATTCTTTCTGCTATCTGCATTCATTGATTCTCGGGTAGATTTGTCGTTGGCATTTGGATCCACTGTCGATTCATAAGAAAAAACTTGCATATGCACCTTTTATGGTCTGTTTGTCTTCTCATAGGCTTCAGCTTCGTTGTCTGTGTCTTTTCTTCTTCTTTTTTCGGTAATTTTGTTTGTCGATAACTCTAATTACGATTTCTTCAATAACGACATAGATAACTTATACATAATATTAAAGTTGAGCAAAACATCAAATATAATTATATACAGTAAATGAAAAATTTGAATTTAATAAACGAACTACAATTCAATAAGATTACTTTTACGACTGTTGAGCAAGTTGAATATTTTTCTATGTTCAGAATATCCTCAATGTCGTCGAAGACAAATTCATCTGTAGATGATGAAACGAATTCTGCCAGAACCAGGAATTTGAACTGTAAGCTGATCTATTTAATACGTGTTCAACTAAGTTTCATCTTGAAAAAAAAAGTAAAACTGAATAATAATGACAACACAATTTGACTGCAATTTAACCGAAGTAATACCATTTACATGTAACAAGTCAAATACACTTGAATTAAATGAGAATCAGCTTTTAATTTATAAAACGACAAGCAAGAAACGTTCAAGAATTCAACAATTCATTTCCAGTGACAGCCTCCATCAAATTTTTTTCTCAGTATTTAAGGAGAGCCGAAAATTATTATTAATCAATCAATATTATAATAAAGGTATAAAATATTTGAAACTTCATCAACGTCATTTATTTGAAAGTATTGATATGGTTTTGAATATAGAATTAAAAAATTACAATACCTTTAGAATGATGCACCGCTTTAACCACGTTTCCATTTGAAAAAGTAATCGATAACGTCATCGCGCTTAAACATATAACATAGGAAATAGAGAGAAAGAGAGAGAGAAAGATATACGTAAAATGTCATAAAAAATACATCTTGTCGACAAATATTTTTCTGCTGAAAGGCAATGTATAACTATAAATATTGTTAAAATTGTTAGGTATAGTCAAAGTAACCGGTATTGTGCATACTTGAAGTGTCGGCGCTCTCAAAGGCTAAAAAAACCAACACAGAGAAATAAAGCCGCTGCCAACTAGTCCACGTGGACGGAAGAATTGGCGGTTCACATTGGATGATTTTTACTAACCAAGTTTTATGATTGGCTGAAGAGTCATAAAATTTAATTTGAAGTCATGTTGCAGTGACGAATAGAATGTGAAGATGGTTACAAGGGTAGTGTTGTCAATGTTCGGTTCAGGAACTGATCGCGATTTGAGTGTTGAAATTCGATATTGGTGCAGTATTACTTGAAATTTTTGTTATCTGTTTAAAATGTGGCGTCCTTGGACAAGTACCAATAATTATAACGAGTGTGGTAACAACGCATACTTTTTCCTGTGCAGTGATTCCAATAGCGATGGTGAACAATGTGAAAAAGAGACACCGGTGAATAAGATTCAGATGTATTTGAATATTGAAACACAGAGAGTATGTTTCAACGTATATAAGAATCTACATCTTAAGTTTGATTTCGAGGAAAACAAACTATTACAAGCAACAATAGATTTGACCGAAATTCATTACTCAATTGTACGTAAAATAGTCAAAAACAAACCTTATGAACGCAAGACGCGATGTGATACGGGATTACCAAAACCTTTAGATGTTCATCTAATTAAATCATTAGAAAAAAAAATATACGACTGTTACAAAAGTAATGAGATTCATACAACTGAAATCATAAGGAAGAAATTGAATACCTTGAGCCTTAGCGTGAACTGCTGTGACAAAAGTTTTCCGAATTGGATGAAGAAATTAGGATTTAGATTTAAAATAATAAACAAACGTTGAACAGTTATACTTAGAACAAATTACTAAATATGAACAAGAACAACGGCAAATTTTTTATTTGGACGAAACTTGGCAAGACACTCAAGACACAATTACGTAAGGGTGGATTGATGGTTCGAGAATGTGTACGCCTAACATGCCTGCAAACAAAGTATCGCGACTAATCATTGTGTATTGCGTAGGAAGTGAAGGATGGGTTCCGAATTCTATGAAATTATGTAGAAAAAACTTGAGGACTGCAATGTTGACTATCATAAGAACACGGAAGCTAATATTTTTAAGGAATGGTTTGAAAACATATTGATCCCAAATTTGGATGCGAATAGTGTAATACTTCTTGACAACGCTTCCTCATTCGCGACAGCTCATCAAAGTACCGAATAAGAATTCGAGGAAAGATGAAATACAAAATTTTTTAATGGATATTAATTTGTATTTTGAAGATTACTATACCAAAAACCAACTACTTGAAATTTCATAGACAAAAACTTTTGAAAAATTGTATGCCCTTGAGAGTATGGCTGAAAAGAATGGACACACCATACTGAGACATATTTTTGTGTTTTCAATCCCATCGAATTGATTTGGGGAAATCATCAGGCGTAAACATAATTTTCCTAAATTTGATAAGGAGGTAATAGAGATAATTAAAGAAAAAGTAATTCAAATACCGTAGAAGACTGGCAGAAAAAGATTAAGAAAGTAATTTTAGTTGAAAAAGACTATATGAACATTGGACACTTCCATATTAATGGTGGACATAAATTCATTATGTCCACCATATGAAGAAGAGGAAACTAAAAATCAACAACAACATTTAAATAGTAGGCAATAGAGCGTTTAAGGTCATTCTACTTCTGAACACGTAACAAACACCATTTTTACCATTATAGTCGTGATATTATGGTCGTGATTTGTTTAATATATTGAATGTTAGGTCTTGTTGTGTTTTGATTTGTACTTGTTCCTCGATAAGTGATTTATGACTGTTGAATTTATGGATGTTTAAGTTTTCCGAAATGTCCATACGGTTTCCCTTATTGACTTGTTTTATGAGTTTTATGTTCTCTGGTGGGAATTAAAAGGGAGCTGTTGGAAGGTAGGTTGCACTATATCGTTTACTTGAACTATACCATCTCATTTCCTTTATTATAAACACAGTGTGAACACACATGAGGAAACTGTTGTTTAGTGAAACACGTGTTGTGGTTTTGTGAAGTGTTCAGGAGAAAAACTCATGGTAATCTTCTTCGATTTATTCAAGTCAACCCTTATTATTTTCTATCTTTCTACAAGGTCTTGTCGTTAAACTAATTAGGTACATTTTAAATATAAATCTCAAACAAATTACGGTTTCAGTTCACTACTGACCTCAAATAAAATTTTGCCAAAGTTACATTACACTCTAATATAAATATCTATTATCTATTTCATTTGTGTGCATCCAATAAAGCACTATCAATAAGACATTCGTTGAATAGAATTATTACTTTTTTTCTTCCAGAATAGAATTCAGTAAGGTAATGGCTGAGAAAACACTCTTCAAAAACTGAAAAAAAAGAGAATAACTTTTCTGCAATACACTTCCCTCTTCTTCATACAGTTACAAGAAGTTCATTATCCACCGAAGTTGTTCCACCGGCTTTTAAAGTGATGCCTCTTTCTGAATTCAATAAAAATAGAGTCAGGGCACGCTTATTAGGAGCTTTCAATAAGTGCCACTCAGATTCGATAATGGCTTCAAACACAGACAGACTCTGAAAAGAAGTGGTTCAATTAGCAAAAAAAATTATTAGACAAAACAAGTATCATAAACGGTTAAAAATAGAAATGAATGTTAATGAAGAACTCAGTTTTGTAACCATGACACTAGAAAGATATGACAGGAAGACTGTGGCAGTATTTTTCTAATTTGGAACTCAAACTATTCTTTTAAAATTGACATTGGATTTGAATTGCTGAAGATTAAATCCATTTGGAAAAACATTCTCAGGAAGTTTATTCCACATTAACGCGGTTCTCCAGATGGGAGAGTTCTCAAACAGTGAAGTTCGAGGTGTACTGAGTTGATCCTCAAAACGATGAGCAGCCACAGTGCGTTGCGTATTTCTGATATGTACCGCTCTTGGTGAAATCAAATGTGCCAAGTCACTTGAACACTTTTCATGGAAGTATCTATAGAAAAAAGACAAATCTCCAACCTTTCCGGCTATCAAGGTTGCATGTGATGTTCGCGTGTTCAATCAGGCCGATGGCTCTTTTCTGGATGGAATCCAGTAACTTCAGGGTATGTTTGGGGGCAGAGCTTGATACATGGGAACCATACTCCGAAAAATGTCTGATCTGAGCTTTATAAAGCATCAAATTGATGAGGTGTGTACAGTTTTCTGGTTCGGAACACTGTTCCAAGCTTTCGAGAAGCAGCCTTTACAATTACAGCGACATGATTGTACCAAGACATATTGGTGTCCATCATGCAACGGCTAAATTTTCAACAGCTTTCCCAGAATTCTATCGTCCAAACTTCGAGAACCCGTTTTGTTTGTTTTTTTTAATCCCCTGGCATTTAACACTTTTTGTGAAGTGCGTAGAATGTTTTGCTTGCCGAACTTCCTACAATCTTCAACTGTCAGTAGACAACCACAAATTCATTTTGTTCAATGGCTAGTACAGGGTGTTCCTGAATAGCCATGATCATTTTGTTGTAACGCTAAACTAGCCGTTACATCCATTTTAACCCCCAACAAACTTATCGAAGCAGAAAGCGGAATTGTCTGACCTGAAATTATTATATCCGGTTCGGAGACATTTATCTTCTTGGAGAAAACCGATGCCTGGTATTTTGTTACATTGAATTGAACCTGGATACTTTCACCCCAATTGGAAATCACTTCTAGATCCTCATTGAGATATGCAACCTCCTGCTGCCGGTGAAGATGTGTCCCCGTAGCAGATGTCCTGGATTCCAAATGGATTGACGAGAGAAGTGTGCTGTCGTCAGCAAAGCAATATATTGGATTCTTGTTTTTTTCCAATGAGTCATTGATATACAATAAAAAGAGGGTTGGAGACGAAATGGATCCCTGGGGAACACCAGCGTTGATGGTGAAAGTATTCGGGAGATATACATCCACGGCCACTTGCAGGAAACGTTCTTTCGGGAAGCTGGAGAGCCACACACAAAAATTATACGACAAGCCATAGCATCAAAGTTTGTTTAGCAAACCCTCATGCCACACACGAAAATTAATTTCCGGCATTGTGGATTCTAGTGTGGGAATAGTGGGTGGTCCATTTCCCAGAAAATCGGTTGTGGTGTGGGACGCAAATTGTTCGGCTAGTATATTTGCTTTTTCTATGGCTGTTGTTGCAATTGAACCATCCGCTTGTGTGTTGTGGAATTGTGGATTTTGTAAAGTTCTGATTAACAGCTTTAGCTACCGACCAGAAGGATCTAGACCCATTGGGATTGGCAAGCAGTTTATCCCTAATTCTCTGATTGTGAAGTTCTTTGCTTTCATTTATCGTAAGTTTGCTGCAGGCGAGCTTTAACAAACCTAGTTCGGTTTTCGATACTGTGATTTTTGCTCCACTGCCGGTAGGCGGGATTTTTGGAGGCGGCAGCTTGCAATTTTTTGTTGAACCAAGGTTTGCCGTTAGAAGGTCGTTTCATTGAAAGAGGAATATATGCATCCATGGATGATAGAATAACTTCCGTGACTTCAAAAGCACACGTAGATGGATCTAGCCAGGGGAAATTTCGGAAATGGTCTTGAGATTCTCCCATTCAGCATTGAGTATATTTTGTACATCATCTATGATCTGATTAGGTTAGTGACAAATATTCAATGAGATTTATAATTCCGACTTTGAACTTTCGAATTCTCAGTTGTAGTTCGAACTTTAAGGATACAATTTCGAAATTATAAAAAAATGATACGGCTCCAAGACAATGTTGTTAATGTTGGTTTCTCAAAGATAACCTAGAATGAATAAAAGATTATTCCGGAAATTATCCAACGGCGAAGATAAGTCAATATTACTTCTACCTTTGAGTTATTCCTTCCTGGATAACTCATCTGCTGGATCTTGATATCATAATTAACAAAACTCCTCACCATCACAAAGAAGCACTCTTTCTAGATGGATAACTAATCGCAAGTTAGAGAGTTAGAACATAGGTAGTTCCTTGGTTGACATAAATTCTGCATTTAAATTTGAAATATTTACATAATAACAAAAAATATGTATGTTTATTTGGAAAAATATTAGCTATAAGCAAAAATTATGGTGTACTATTATCAGATAAAGCCGATTAATCTTTTTCGAAAGTTATGATTAAAGTGGTTCTACAATTTCCTCAACAATGCTCTAATTTCTACATGTTTTCCTCTTCGTGTTCAATACGTTTTCGCCATTTTTCGTGATCGATATTTTTTGAGGACTTCTGAAATAGTATTTTGATATCTTTTGTTTCGAATGTCGTGTTTATTTTTACAACAAAACCATTTACTTGAGTCCAAAAGAGTTCACTGGGACTAAATTCGCAGTAACTATGGGGCAGACGTAGAATAATAATGTTTCATTTCTGTGCCATCTTGTCGAGTAAATATTCTGTGAAACGATCTTTATACGATCATACTATGAAGATTAGTTCTTTTTACCCATACTTTCATCAAATAGTATGTGTTTTTGTTGAACCCACTCAATGATATCCGCTTTTCTCCATGCATTAACTGGTATTCTTTCAAATTCTCTGGAATGATAATTTGCATTATCCATCACAATCACAGAATTAGGTGAAATGAGGTCCAACATTTGTTGAAAATATTCTTTAAACACATGATGCTATCATGATAATCATCAGAATGCTTCGACTCAAACCGCCCTAAACAAAACCATCAACACGTTCATTGTGGATAATAATCAATCGCTTTCCTTTTGCAGAAGGTGACTTGAATTCACAAGACCAACCTTCTGAAAATGCTTGACATGAAGTTGTAATTCTTTTGTCTTGCCACATCTTTCGTTAACCCAATTTTCGTCCAGATGATAGATCTTTCTGTTGTCATGTCGAAACTCTTTCATCTGCCTCTAGCTGTTCATTTTATCAATTTCGATTAAGAGTCATTTTCTGTTCTGTTTTTCCCTTAATGTTTCCACAATTTCGTTCTGCTTTGCTCTCAAAAACGCCGTAAATCACCATATCCCCAAATATTTGGAAGGCTTTAACATCTTGAGCGATCATCAATATGGCTTTCGGAAACAAAAATCAACAAGCGACCTTCTATCGTATGTCACCCATATTTGGAATAACGCAATCGAGAAACATGGAGAATCAAGAGCTATTGCGGTGTATATTTCCAAGGCCCTTGACTGTGTGGCATGAGGGTTTGCTGGCTAAACTTCGATGCTATGGCTTGTCGGATCATTTTTGTTTATGGCTCTCTCCAGCTTCTTGAAAGAACGTTATCTGCAAGTGGCCGTCGATGAATATATCTCAAATATTCATTTTTCACGATCAATGCTGGTGTTCCCTAGAGATCCATATGTCTCCATCTCTTTGTTTATTGTATATCAACAACTTATTGGAAAAAAGCAATAATACGATATGTTGGTCTGCTGACGACAGCACACTTATCTTGTCATTTCATTTCGATTGTTGGACATCAGCTGTGGATGCACATCTTTACTGGCAGCAGCAGGTTGCATATCTTAACGTATTTTGTTATTTTGAATTGGAGTGAAAGTAACCAGGTTCAATTCAATGCCACAAATATCCAGGCATCGATTTTCTCCAAAAAGATAAATCCTAACCAGATATAATTTCAGGACAGACAATTCCGCTTTCTGCTTCGATAAGTTTGTTAGGGGTAAAGTGCCAAGCCAATATGGTCTGACACAATCATGACGCTGGAATTGCAAAGGTTGCTTCTCAAAAGCTTGGAACACTGTTCCGAACTAGAAAACTGTACACACCTTAGCAACTTTTGATGCTTTATAAAGCTCAGATCAGAACTTCTTTGGAGTATTGTTCTCTTTTATGGAGCTCCGCCCCTAAGCATACCCTGAAATTGCTGGATTCCACCCAGAAAAGAGCCATCCGCTTGACTCGAAACATCGAAGAAAGGTTGAAGATTTGTCTCTCTTCTATAGATTCTTTCACGGGAAGTGAACGGTACATATACGCGACGGACTGTAGGTGCTCATCGTTTTGAGGCGTACTTCATTGTTCAAAAACTCTTTGATTTGGAGAAATGCGTGGAATAAACTTCCTGAGAACGTTTTTCCAAATTGATTTAAAATCCAACGATTCAAATTCAATGTGAATCGCTACTTCCGCATAGGCACCGCTCTCAGATCGCCTTAAGGAATTTCCTGTGGCGCTTGTGTTTTGTTCTTGAACACATCGTAGAACTAGTTTGTATTACCAAATGATATGTGATAGAATCGGCCGACACTTGATGAAAATCAGACATTTCTATAGTATAGTTATCAATGCGAGTGTTCCATATTCTTATTACTCCTCGTATACATATAATGTCTTTCGAGATTTGTTATATCCAATGTATGAAATAAATACTTCATTTTTCACTTTTTAACCGACTCAGTTATATACGCCTATGGAACAACTACTTCAAAATGATTCTGCTTAAGGAAATAGACCATAGAGTTACTTTTTTGAAGTTATTGGGCTGAACTCGAAAGGTTTTCCAATGAGAATAAACATTTTTTTATATAAGGCAGGTTAGGGCTACTTCAAAAAATGAGGTTATATTGTGGCTCACACCTATACGAACTCATCGGAAGAAAATCCGTGTGGAATTTGCTACCAGAGCCCGAATTTTTCGTGAAAAATAATTCACTCGAAAATTGACAGACCACGGTCACAATCTAGTGAGAACCTTATCGACAGTCAGTTTGCGACTACCTTCGTCAGGTATAGGTAGGCAGCACAAATGTGTGGCTTGGAAAGTAGGTGTGTTCTGATACATTAGCACCCACTAGCCGGGAGACAGCAGCCACCAGCCGGGATACAGCAGCCACTAACCGGGAGACAGCACCTACTGGCGGGAGATTCTGGCCTGATCCTCTCAAGTAACCTGTAGTTATCAAGGCCGAAACGTACAGCTCTGGAATCGCACCTGCGAACCAAATTCTGGATTCTCCTCAATCGTAACCAGAATGGCATACTGATGAAATTTCAGTTGATTGGTGGGTATTGTGGTTGTCAAATATTCTCAAAGTGCAAGTTCCCACCTTCATGAAGCAAGCTTTCTATATGAAGGCTCCTAAAACTCAGCTATATTTGACGATACATTGGATTCAGCCATACAAAGCTTTTTCACCACTGATTTGGACGAACTACCGTTCAAACATGAAAGTTTGCTGATCTGCCCAAGGGGAGTTTGTTTTCTATCCTTATGCAGATACTGCTTCTGCTACTCAAAAATTCGGTTGATTGGTGGATATTGTGGTTGTCAGATGTTCAAGGTGCAGAGTTCCCACCTTCATGAAACAAGCTTTCTATATGAGGGCTCCTGAAACTCAGCTATATTTGATGATACATTGAATTCAGCCATACAGAGCTTTTTCACCACTTTTGGGTAAACCATCGTTCAAACATGACAGTTTGCTGATCTGTTCAAGAGGAGTTTGTTTTCTCTTATGCAGATTCTGCTTCTGCTGCTCAAAAATTCGGCGCAAGGCAGATCAGCAGATCTGGATGTGATAAGTCGATTTCTAGCTGCACCACATAGCCTCCTAGATTCGCTAAAAGGGTCAAGGGTTGGAGATCCGAGAAGCTTTTGCCCTTGAATCAATGTTTCAGGAAGGAAAATTGTTATCGTTCAATCGACGTTCATCTCCTTTGTAGACTCAGGTTCGGATTCATGTTCCACAAAGGAACCCACGAGTCCATCACGGTAGAGCTCCGTATTGACAATAATAATTACTTCATTAGAATTTTCTTTTTTTGATATTGAGTTGTTTCAGAAATTGTTCAATAATACACTCTCGAAATAGTGCGTGTTTTTTTTCCTGAAAATTGAGATTGTTAGTCAAGTTGCCACTTCTCGATTGAACTTTGTTCGTGGCTTTTTTCTCCAACAGCTTTTGTATTCACAGCTGGTTATCTGTAGGCGCTGTCTCGTATATTCATTATTTTTTCAAAATACTCTTACACCACAATTATTGATCCTGTTGAATGCACCTTCATACCAGCAAGAACAAACGTACCACTTCACTCACTTTTCATGTTTTTCTGAAACGAATATTATTTACTGTGTTTGTATCTTCTTTCATGCTTCTGTGAGTGAAGTGGTGTATCTTTTGCACCCCTACACTTTGCAATGGTCCCAGCCTCAGTCCTGATTAAAAATTATATACATGATTAAAATGCAATTACAAATAGGAATAGGAGTTTCTGTTATTCTTCTTCCACATCAACAATTAAAAAAAATCTTGCCAATCAAAGTGATTTCAATGAGTTCAATATTCATTTGACTTATTATTGAGTATAATACACACTATTTTCATTCAAAATAGCTTACCTGTTGGTTCAGATCTGTACCTTGAGCACAATATATAAGTAATTCGACGAGATACACTCCAGTAAGAACAGACAATGCAACAACTTGGCTGATATTAATGTGACTCTGAAAAATGTATTCCAAACTTTATTGAGAGACAGTGGATCAATAAATTGAAATGTTTATACTCTGATTCTGCATGTTCATCTTGAACATAAATTACATTACAGTGACTGATTTCTGTTTATGACATTGTGAGTGGTTTTGTTACTATGTTAACAGTATGAATCCTGTAGTATACTTAATAATGATGACATTTTTGAAGTGTTGGAATCAATATCATGAGAGTATTAAATTGAAAGAAAGAGAGATTAGATTGTTGAAAAAAGCTTTTTATTCAATATTTTTGTTTTTGACTATTCATCAAAAACAGAAATATGATCTATTCTATGTATATATGAGAATATAACAATTTCTAAATGTGCACAGCTCAGTGATCTGAGGGATTCATACTTGGATGCAGTGTAAAAGCAACATCGTGTGGCAACCGTCAAAGACACTTCGACAATTCACTGGATAACAGGGTAATGCACTCGTATGTAGGAAGATCGGTTATGATGACGACAAAATCTATGATTGCTTTTAGGTTGTTGGCACCACGGCCATGGTATACAATTATTAGTAAAATTTATACGGTATATTCATTCAGGAGTAGATACCTGAGAGAAATTCTTAATTACATAATTGCAAATGCTATCTGTTCCAATTAAAAGCTGTGTACTGTAATTGTAACATATCTCCAAACCAACTACTTATTAGATAGTGTTATGACATGATGGGTTATGATAGCACTGTTTAAGGGGGATAATGAGTTCTCAACTTCAATCCATTTAAAACAATTTATGAACTTCTCGAAGGTGAGGGAGGAACTGCATATACCAAATGAAAGAACTTTGAATTAGTAAAGCTCCTGTTCTGCCGAAAAGACTTTTTTATCTTGATCTTTTTCCAAATATCCGCTTTCCAGATCAATTTAAAAAAAAATGAACAGCGGGTTAGTTTAGTATCGATTCCAGATAAAAGACAGCCGTCTTTTTCGTGAAGTCATTGAGCCGATGGTAATTCATACAGGATCTGCTGTATTGTCCTTTTTGGTAATCAATACAAGCAAGGGGTACCACTGATCTGTAAATTCCTCAATTATGTCATCTTCGAGCATCTTGTAATCAGTCTTTGTGTTTTAGTGAAATATGTTAATAACTTCCCTACCAGCTCAAGAAGCATCATGTCTATCAATACACCTTCAATTAGATGAAATCTAGCAAGCAAAATATCTGGTTGAAGGAGATTCCTACTCACGAACTCACGTTGGTGAATCGAGCATACTACTGTGGGATTACTTATAATCTTATTATGTGTCTATTGTTTTTGCAGGTGTTGCGATTTGCAAAGACCCATATATATAATTTTCTCCAAGATTGTCTTCTTTATCAGAACTATTGATAACGTTAACAAGATCGAACTTTAGTTGTATGCTGATGAAGGATAGTTCAATTGGTATTTCATTGTTTCAGTATCGACAGTGATAATATCGATAGGATTTCTTTCTTAGAAATTCTCAACTATTTCTGTCCAGAAGATATTTGTCCTTATTTGTGGGACCAGCATGGAATAATCAATCAATTGAACACCTCAACACCTTGCTCTGTGACCGGGAATTCCTCATAAGAACAGATTACAATACTTAGCAATAGATAATGAAAGTCAGGAAACCTGGAGGTTCAGTTGATGGATGATTAAAAAGTAAAACTTTGAAGTTATCTAGCGATATTGTCTAAAACATAGTGATGTGGATACCTTTCCGAGATGCCTCTCTTCAGAGCCTAAGTCTATATAATCGGAACGAACAGTTAGTTGAAGTTGCAGACAATGATGTGCAAGATCAAAGACATGTAGACCACAAAGCATAAAAAGTATCAATTATTGATATTCTGAAGGATTACTTTAATGAATAATAATAAGAAGATAATGAATTGGAGAAAGTTTTTTCCCAAATTTTCTTCCAGCTCTCCGGATGATAATCGAATCAACTGAAAAGTGCTAATCTTTATATTTATCTACTCACCACATTGAGAACGTATCCAGTAACCACCAAAGTAACATAGCTCATTGTGAACTGGATAACCATAATCTTCGAGGTAAATATCTCTAGATTTTTACCAAATCTAAAATCCAAAAAAGAAACTTCACGCAAATGTTTAGTCTATATACAGAGTGTTTTAAAGGAGTATTATATCAATTTTTTGAAATTTTTCATATGGCACAACCGAGTAAAAATTAGTAAAAAAGAACTAAGCTAATAGTTCTTCCTTCAGAAACCTCGATAACACTGAAAAGGTTCAACACTGAGTTGATGACTTTCATTCTGACACTAATCACTATCCTGTTTTGAGTTTCAGGTCCTGCAGAGAGCATAGTTTGAGCACAATTTGGGTAGCGAGACAGGGACAGAAGATAGACGCGAAAGGGAGGAAAAGAGCATGAATCAAATTCTAAGAATAAACCTGAATGTAAGATATTAAATGAGTGTAAAAATGGCGGATTATAGTCTGTCCAGAAATGAGAGAAACTACAGAAACTTAATTGGTTGAGTGAAATAAAAACACAATAGCAACTTTCACGTCTCCATATGTACCGTAGAGTTTTTTGAAAGTTTTTTTTTCATTTTTGGGTACCTATTCATATTTTTTTAAATTTCCATTGCTCTGAGCGTTTTTTACAATGAACTTCGAATAAGAAAACCTTTTATGATTATCTGGAACATATATACAATAAATATGTTCTGATAAGCAGAAAAAAAATGATAGCCGTAATAACATGCGAAACGACGAACACTATGAAAATTGAAATGAAGTGATTTATATTCACAAAAAAAGTAATGGCGCAATAAATGTTCGAATTGGTGTCCTTCCATTTCTAGACTTTTTGAACTCGTTTTTCATATTATTCATTACACATATAATCTATTCATTGTAGATATGTTTCAGATAATCATGAAAGGTTTTCTTATTCGAAGTTCATTGTAGAAAACGCTCAGAGAAATGGAAATGTGAAAAAATATAAATAGGTACATGAAAATGAAAATAAACTTTCGAAAAACTCTACGGTACATAGGGAGACGTGAAAGTTGCTATTATGTTTTTTTAACTCAGTCAATCAATTTCCAGGGCCGTAATTTAACAGGGAATAATTCACCCGATTATAATATTTCACCGAAACATCCCGAAATATAAAATTAAATTTAATTTCACAGTATGAAGTGAACATCGACGATCCAAAAACTACAACATAAATACAGGTCCGTATTTAAAAATTCAAAGAAGGGGGTGGCCCAAGTCAGATGACACCTTGTATAAATGATTCATGGACATATTCTAATAGCCCACATCAACCACATCAGCCAATAGCAAAATATGGACAGATTTTCAATATGTCTGCGAATAAAGAAGATAATCTTATGTTGATCTGTGTTATGTGCTATTATCCTCAATGGTATTGATCTCACGACGTTTCGACAAAGTCTTATTTGTCATCATCTGCCGATTTTTGTTAAGTGTTCGAAAGTCGACCAAACTTACTCGATCCGCTCCCTACTATAGGTATAGTGATGTGTGTTACGTGTTCGGAAGTAGACTGTCCTTACACATCTGGGCTCTTTCACTTGCGATACAATAGGCCATCGCGTAGGCATAGGGAATTACATTGAACCCAGTAAGCCTTAGTAATTGCACGATTTTCGCAAATTAAGTAGAACTCTATTGATGAGCCAGATTTGAAGCAACTTTAGCTCATTATTCATTTTTCTCAACTTCTCGCATCTTTGTAGTTGCAGTCTCTCCAATTTCCGTCTTTATTATTCTCTCGTTCTCTCCTCCTCTGCTCATCTGCTCTTATTTTTCCTTTCCTTCTTTTCTTTTCTCCTTCTCTTCTCCTTCCTTATATGCCTCCATTTTTATTCTACTTCTTCCTTATCTGCATCCATTATTATTCTTAGTGTTCTCCTTTTTTCCTATTTGATGCTTTCTGTTTTTTCTTTGTCAACCATTTATTTTTATCTTTTGTTTACTCATTCTCTCTGTTCTTTTTCTCGTTTCTTCACGTCTCCTGTCCTCTTCATCATACCACGACGTAACTAATATCTACTGTCACATCCATCTAGTCACTAAATCTACTTTATTGTTTTCCTCCAGTGCCATTATTTATTCTGCCGCAGTCCCCACTGTTATGATCTTGCTATGACACCAATGTCACGACTACGCTCGAGATGGATGGTAAAAAAGTTGAAACTTGTTGTAGAGACCAATTATTATTTGCACTCGACGGGCGTTTCGCTAACAGCGATGTTGCCAAACCCTTCTCTGCTCCAATATGGGTTCAGTTTTTATTAGATGGAAGCACTTGACAGGTGAAAATTCATTGAATAAAGAAAACACGTTTTATAGATTAGTCAAACATTATTTCATATTTTATTTTGTGAAAAAGTTGACTATATTTAATCGTACAATGTCGTTATCTTAAAAATCATTAAATTCGTCAAAGGAATAAAAAGTTAAAATCATGTTTCGAAAAATAAATGGAAAACAATGAGTTAGCGACATTCTTCGTTACATCATCGATTACTTTCCCCCATACATATTTTTATGTAACATCTCATTTCTTCACAAAGTGTTTTCCCGATTTTCAATGGCGCTGCCACTCCATAGGGCTCTTAATAAATGAATATTTGGTACTCATCTACTTCATTGCATAGATCAAATTACGAAAACATTGAACTTTGTGAATTATACTTTGTAATTATAGCACTCATGTCACTATTACACTGCCGGTTTCTTCGTTCTCGAACTATGCCACGAAATTCAATCTACCTCTGTTGATCGACCAATGGGAGGCCGTTTATCGGCTAAACAAATTTTTTGATAACCTTAATACCTCTGTGTAGAAATATACTCACTTTAGCAACTTCACATGATGCTGGATACAAATTTTCAATCTTTCTGCTACTATACGCTGGAAATATTCATCGTTGAACTTCTTGAAATCCGAACATTCTGGCAGTATACCATCGGTGATATTTTTCAACAGTTCCTTCAACAACGTAAACTGAACGCGAAGATGCTGAACAGCGTAAACCAGAGTGTAATCATAAAATGCATTACCAATAATTGTCATAACCAAAACGCAAAATACGATCACGTACATAATTTCATATATGGGACTAGGATTTGTATCAAATGGTGTCCAGTTGATGCTTGGTAAAGGTCTTTTTCCTTCAGGCGGTTCCACTAGTGGAAATATTATCATAGTTATCAAAACAGTCAATCCTGAAGTGAAAGTTACTATTAAAATTATGTTGACGAACATAAATCTGCGTTTAATATTGCTTTGTTTTTCCGGACTACAAATGTGAAATCCCCAAAATTCATTTTCAATTGTTTTATAAAAGTACTCCACGCGTCTTCTGTCATGGTAGAGGTAGAATAGTTTACAAACAGACTGAAAATAATAATAATATCAATTACTTGATTTTTCCATGGGATATTAGTCATTAAGTGATAGAAGGTAGTAGAAAGATATTTGGAACATGCAGATAAGTAGCAATAAACTTGAATCAACCTGAACTGTAAAACATTCGGATTTCATTTCGACATATCTATCAATCTATATAATCAATTAAGAGGGGTCTTACTTCTACTTCCCATCATTACTAACAAATAGCTAGTAAAGTTAAAAAATTATTCACTTTCGCGAAGTATTTTTTTATCTTCTAATTTTCAATTATGAGTATCCACAATCGTCTTTAGATGATAAATGATAAAAGAAAAACTTTTGGCCAATATCGATATTGTCAAATATTTTTCAAGAAAAAAATCAGTATCTTACATTAATTTGCCGAAATACTCATTCTTAAGTTCGCTGATGAAGACTACTGTCAATATTGAAAAAAATGTGCTGGATGGATAAAGATAGAAAATGTGTTTTGAAGAAAAGAGAAGTTTCTATGTTTTTCACCACTTTCATTCATTTTTAACTAACGTTACTGCAGTTTCGTCTTATAAGGACATTTTCATTGAACATTTTCATTAAACTAACAATGATTTATTACATTAGCCCTTATATACCACCCCTATAGGTACTTGGCTTGATTGAGTACCTGAATTTACAATGTGGATGTGCCACTTTGAAAACCGGTGAGTGAACTAAATCGATTTGATCATTTAACAGATTACACCCGCAATGTTTATGCTTGTGAATTTCCAAGGATTCTAAATAATTGAGTTTGCAACCCTTCCTTGCATAGTGTAGAATTTCCGTATCGTTTCGATTCGGAAACTTGTGGTTGCATGCCAAGGAATGGTTTGAAAACGTCGAATCATTTTTTCCTAGTGGTAAAAAACATAAAAGTTTCAATTATCTTTTCTTCATTATGATTTCCTACCACGTCTACATCCATCAATTTATTAAAATGTGTTTTGTTCCCAATAACTCGAACTAATTATAAAATAAATAATTTTTCAACTTAGTTTTCGCATATTCCATCGGAGCAAAATATATTAGTGTGGAGTTATCCACAAATTTTCATCCACAACTTCTGATGTAGAGACCTAAGTATCGTGGGATAGAACTACATTATTGCCAAGTCTCTAAGAGTTCTATTTGCATAAGAATTTCAGATATTGCTAAATAATTTCAACATCTGAGTTCATCAATACAAATATTAAGTGAATTAATTGATATTAACTGTTTTTTCTCGATATCTAATACAAAATAATAATACATACATTGTTAATAAAACAAAAATATATTTGAAAACACAAAATTGTAGAAAACGCTTTTTGACAATCGTTGATTCATGAATATAATTTTTCACACAGATACTTCGTTCACGAGACCTGGCTCAAATTATAATTCATTATCAATACTTATACGAGATTGAAACGAAAATTTGTGGAAAACGAATTTTGATCGAAAATTATGGAAAATAGTTGATTGTGAATTATAGAAAATATTTTTTCCTCAGTAATCTTAGACTGCTTGTTCACCAGACCTGGCTCAAATTGTTATTCATCATCAATACTTATATGAGGTTGAAACGAAAATATATTTTAAATTCTTATGATTATCTGAATTACACTCTCAAAAATTTAAATGCAAGTTATTTAAAAATATTAGATTCTAAAGAGTGGCTTTCAGATTTTGTAATCGACAGCTACTCACATCTTTCAAATACACCTGACAGTGATTTTCAAATATTTGATTGCTTCAACATTTTTCATAGTTAATAGAACAAAGATTCAGAAAATAATTATAGTTTTGTCAAAAATAACATCGTTATGCCAATTCACGTCGATAATATTCCATTTCAATTCATCGTTATGTGTTAGCTAGTCAAAGAAAAAGAAATAAAATCTTCCAATCGTAGAACACCTACATACGTCGAAGATGAGTGCAATAGAAAAAAACGAGTACCTTATAATCGAAGAAAATGATTTTTGTACAACAATGCGAACGAATACGAAAATATTTCTCTACATTTTAATAATATTTGTCTACCATAACCTGAATGGGAAGTGATATAAGAAGACAACTTAGAGTATTTATCATTTAAAATAAAGTGTTGTGGTTGATCAATTCACAAAAACCTCACAATAACATTTGTCATAGGGTTATCAGAAGAAATAGCTAATAAATATATCATGTAAATTTCCATAGAGTTGCGGAAAGTGAACTAACAAACTTTTGAAACTACTGGATTATGAGACGCCCAGAGAAGAATCAAGCTTCATTTCGGAATGGTCATTGATAACATTTTGGATTTTATACTAATTCACTACTGCTATAACAAGTAGTTGTAATTATTATATCAGTATTGTAATGTAACCAATTGTACCTGTGACAGAATAAGAATTACTGTACATTTCATTAGTTAAGACTTCCATTGTCTAATATGATATGACTCATCACCCGAAGAAGATTGTGGATACTAACAATCAAAACGTCGTAAAGTAACTTGGCTTGAAATCTTTTAATCCTTCAATTTTCATTTTCATTTCTTGTCTACTGTTCAATTTTCAATTGTTGCTTGTATTTTATGTCTCTGTAATTTCAGTTTTTTACCTTGATATAATTGTTGATCTTTTTAATTTTATTGATTCTTTTTTTGAATAACCTCGTTTCATTATATTCAATTGTTGATTTCTAAACATGAAGTAAACTGTATTGGGTGAATATATTCTCAATAATATGTCTGTTAAGATATTTCATTTTAATTTTGTCTTCTTCCTGATCTACTTAATGTTATAACATTGATTCAACTGGTAATTATTATCATTGAATTATTATGAATGTTATATTAAAAAAACCAACATAACATGAATAATAAATATTTTGTACGTACTGAAACAGTGGATTTCATAATTATCTCCTATTTTTTTCTCATCAAAAATCGTTTTATTAATGATTTCGTTTCCACTTTGTATATTTATTGATGATGGATTATAATTTATACCAGGTTTCGTGAACAAGCACTCTAAAATTACTGAGAAAAAATCATTTTCCATAATTCACGATCCACTATTTTTAATTATTTTCGATCAAAAATCGTTTTTCACCAATTTTTGTTTCAACCTCGTATAAGTATTGATAATGAATTCAAGCCAGGTCTCGTGAACAAGCACTTTAAGTTGCCTGTGAGAAAAATTATTTTCATGAATTAACTATCGTCAAAAAGCGTTTTCTACAAACTTGTGTTTTTAAACATAATTTTGTTTTATCAACTATGTATATATTGATTATTATTTTGCATTAGATGTCGAGAAAAAACAGCTTGAGACACTTGTGAATATAGGTCCCACCAATCATACTATCATCAATTATTTCAATTTTTACGGACTTTTGATGAAATACATTTTTCACTCCAGTAAGAATTGATGAACGAATATGTTGAAATTGTTAAGCAATATTTCTAAAACTCAAATTCTTATGCAAGTAGAACTCTCCGAGACTTGGCAACACTACGCAATAATGTAGATAACTTCACACCAATGCAAAATATTGAATATTATTATTCGAACATTTGGATGAAATTTGTACTGTTCAATTAAACACNTGGATGCACTTGTGATGAAGAATTGTGCAAAACAAAACAAGAATTGCTACATTGAAATCGTTATGACTTACCAAAAACCTTGTTGGGAGAGTAACCGTTATCTCAGTTACCGAAATCGGATCCTCAAAACGTTCAAATGCATACATCGCACGAGTTATTGTATCCAGAAACTTCAAAAATGTAACGAGAAACCAAAAGTACTTCCTCATGCCAATGTATTGATGTAACTTAACCCATTTCATTATTATTTGCATTGGGTCAGCTAAGAAAAGGTATAACGCAGTTATATTGAATAAATATTCACTAAAATCTATAAAACACAATTACGATTGCACAAGTTATTTCATGTTACTGATGATCCAAACCAGCATACGAAACTCTCATCGTTTCTTTGAGAATCACTTGGAAGTCGATAATATAATCATGGTATTAACTTCGAATCACTATTTTTTAACACTGTTGACACATTATACAGTGGAAAAAATGGAATAAATTCATTATTCTAATCATTATGCCTATTCATTTGAGAATTTGGAATTGAACAAGAGAGTTATATCAACTTTTCAAAATTTCATTCTTGTTCTATTTCACAAATAACAATTGTTTTCTAATATATTTTTAACAATGTATGCATATTAGGATGTCTTACATGAAATGAATAACTAATTACTGTTAACGAGAATAGCATTCAGGGTAATAGGACATGCTTGATTTTAAGTTATAGTACCAAACGTTTCGTCTGCTACAGCGGCAGACATCAGCAATGGTACTGGTATACTAGTTGACAGTGAGAATGAAGTCTATATCTCAAAATTTCGATAATGACTGATGTCAGTAGTACCTACAAGTTCTATTCGATTACGGCCTACCAGCCCAAATTCTGTTCTCTGAAACCGTGACTCCGGCCCTGAAAGCCTATGTCCTTTAAAGTACTGTCATTTACACTATTTTCTTTTTGGGAAATTTGAAAAATTCACACATATTGTTAGTTAAATTCAAAGTGACCAATTCTCATAAACTCTAATTTACATTCGCTATGAAATATTCAATTAAAAATATTTTTAATGAAAATATATCAAAGATTGGAATACTTTTGAACTTTGTATGGAATTTAATATAATTGAAAAGGTTTCGTTCCAAAGTCAGAAAGAAACTAAGTAGAATAGGCGTCAGTTTTAGAAAATTTTAGGTGCTATGTTGAATAGGTTTTGAGTTAATTCTTTGACATTTTTCAAATTCATGTTCTGCTAGTTTATTGTGAAGTGAACAGCAATTTCTGATATCAAGAACTGCACCTACAATTTCTGAATATTACTTTAAGGATAGTGAAACGAATAACATTATCAAGTAAAAGTATTTTATGAATAT